GTTCGAAAGCACGGCTCTTACTCCGTCCGGAGGGATCTTGGTATGGTTAGAGCAGTCCTTCTCATACCAGCCCCCGGCGTCCGTATCTTGTGGACAGCTTCTTAAAAGGGATTTCTCAGCCCTGCTCCTGGAGTTTCTTCTTCAGTAGTCCTGGGTCAGACCCCAAGAATTTGCATTTCTTGCAAGTTCCCAGGAGGTACCCAGGCCACAGGTCTGGGACCATATTTGAGAATCACTGAACCAAAGAAATGTCATGGCCACGTGCTTGAAGAAATACCACACCCTTTCCACTTTCCCATCTCCCTACCCACTGCACATGCAACACACTGTGACACAGGAATCATATTCTAACTCAACTACAGAGGCCAGGCGTTTTAGTGACGCTCATCTTTGTAAAGAACTGTTCTTGAGGGACACTGGAGGGGGCTACTGGATGAGCCTGTGGGTGGGAGGACAGGGCGAGGCGGGTAAGGACAGGAAGCCAGTTAGAGATGCTTGCTTTGACTCGCCTGGAGGTGTTCTGGGGAGGGGGGAATGGCTTGGAGAGGAGTCCTAGAGGAGAAGGGAAGCCCAGGGAGGGAGCCAGGAGGCCAGGGGCTGGTCTGGGGGAGACCATGAAGGATCAGATTTAAAGGTTAAAGCCAAGACAAGCTGGAGTCAGCGATTAATGAGGACATCTTTAAGTGTCTTTTTAGAAATGTGGTTTGTTCCTCCCAGAATTCATTACAGCTGATCCGTAAAGTGGCTTTCCCCCAAACAGCAAAGGAGGATATAGAGTGCTGAAGTCCCTCTAGGGAGAGGGGGAGAGGGAGACAGACCACCATCCCAAGGACAAATTTGCCCATCCCTTGGATGGGGCCAGCAAAGAGTTGTCTCCATGACTTTCCTCCACCACCTCCCATCTGGCATTGCACAAACCCAGGCAGCCCCGGGCTACCCCACCGACCCTGCCAACTCCCCCTGCTGCCCCATCTCTTCTGTGCCCCCACCTCCCTCTCCCTCTGGAGCTCCTCCTTCCCTGGTGGGCTCCTCCTCTCCCCTGCAACTCTCCAGCAGTGATCGCAGAAGGTAATTGTCGTGATGAGTCACCTTCCCGTGGCCCATCCTTGAGAGGCACAAGACCCTGGCCAGGGTCAAGGGGAAGCATCATTATTACAAGACCGTGACAGCAAGGCTGTCAGACTTGCTTTTGAACCAAATGGGGCACCAGCTGTCCCGAGGAGGGAAACTCCACAGAGGCTGGTCTCCGGTACATCTGGAAGAAGTCACAGAACTAGGCAGGCCTGTCTCGTACCAAACAATAAACTCCATGTGTAAATTCAGGCGCACCCTCTCTGTCTCCCAAGCATCTCTAGTTCACCCCATGACGCATGTCAGTTTTCCTCTGACTGTTCCAGGTCCCCACCTCTCCGAGCCCTGCCTTACTACCCTCTGCCCTCTCTTCCCATCTGTAGGAGATTCAGGGATTCTGGTAAACACCCTCCATTCGTCCCCCTCTCCCAGGCCCCCTCCACACATGCACCCTGCGGCAGGGGGCAGCACAAAGAACTGACCTGAGTTACCTCATTTGTAGAGCGTGTGTTTGGGTTTTGCTCTGGCACCTCCATACTCCTTCCTGTGCTAACACACCCCCCCACCCCACCCTGGGAACAATGTGCGTGTGAGTCAGCTCGACCAATTGCGCTACTCTATCATGACAACAGTGATTGGCTCAGGGATGTGCACGTGATTGGAGAAGGACCAATCAAAGCCCTTCCCTGGAATTTTTCCATCTCCAACTAGTGGAGAAAGAGTTCTTGCCTCTCTGCTTTTGAGGCTCTAAGGATGTGAACCAGAGGCTGCCTGCACTCATGTTCCCTGATGCCTGGAAAAAGCCCACCTAGAGGATAAGAGAAAGAAATAAGCACCCAGAAGGATAAAGGGCATGGTGACATCTGAGTTCCTGGGCCCAGCCATCCCTGAGTTAAGATCTATCCTTACTCATTATGGTTCTGATTGGTTTCTGTCATTTACAACTGAAACTGCTCTAGTGCATGTGACAGTCATTGTGTCCCTTCATGTGGGGGCTCTAAGATACCATACAAGATCTCATAAGAGATCTTCCATGCCAAGTGCTTAGCAAGTGATCAGTCACTAAGTGGGCGATCAATCCACTGTAGCGGTTGGTCCCTGCCCATGATGTCCTCAGCACCAACCAATCCAGCTCTGCCTTCTGCTCCCTGCTTTGGCCAGTGCCTCATTATTCCCCCGGTCTACCTGGCTGAAGATCTAGAACCATATTCCTTTCGTTATTCCAGTACTGCTCACCGAAAGCCCAGTCCACTTGTACCATACAGTTTCTCTCAGGCCCTTCCTTCTTTATTGTTCCACTTACCACTGTCCTAGTTCGAGTCACTCGCTCATGCATTCAACAAACTTTTAACTGAGGACATATCAAGGCTGGTCAATGTGCCAGCCCTGTGGACGGGTCAGCAAACAAGACAGACATCATCCTCCTGACACTCTTTCCTGTCTTGGCCCTCCCTGAGTACTTGTCAGACTAACTGCTCTTGAATTCTGTTTTCATGTTACTCTTCTTAATAATGTTCCTGGTTCCCTTCGTTCCTACCTCACCAAATCTCCGTGTCAGTGCTTGGCCTTCACAAGTCCTCCACAATCTGCCTCCAAATAGTAATAATATAATAATATTAAAAGAGAAGAAGCTGGGGCGCCTGGGTGGCTCAGTGGGTTAAAGCCTCTGCCTTCCGCTGGGGTCATGGTCCCAGGGTCCTGGGATTGAGCCCCTGCATCCGGCTCTCTGCTCAGTGGGGAGCCTGCTTCCCTTCCTCTCTCTCTGCCTGACTCTCTGCCTACTTGTGATCTCTGTCTGTCAAATAAATAAATCTTAAAAAAAAAAAAAAAAAAGAGAAGAAGCTGCCACCACTTGTGGCATCCTTCCTGTGGGCAGACACTGTGCTAATCATTTTATAGGCATGAGCTCATGACCTGAGGATTGCATGGCTGATCAGCACAGGCACCAACCATCAGTGAAGAAACCAGCTCTCTTCACAGCCATCCAGAAAGGTGGGTGCACGATCCTCAGTTTACAAATGTGTAAGACGCATTAGGGTGAAGGGTCATGTCCAGGGTCACACAGCTGGTAAAACAGCAGCTCCAGGATTCACACCCAGGAGTCTCTAAGTCCAGAGCCTTCGCCCCATCCCAGAAGGCTTCCCTAAATCTCCACTGTACGACCAGGTTCTTCCCTGCAATTTCAACAGGCCGCACTCGGGCTGGCCTTCTTCATTCACTCCCACAGTCATTGGTTGAGGCTTCCCCTTTCGAACCATGATCTGTGTAAGATGCGGAACCTCCGTGGGGGGGCAGAGATTACATCATTTGTGCTCACTGCAATATCCCTGGTACTTAGCACTTTACCTCGGACGTCATGGTGCTCAGCAAATATTTGTTGAATGAATGAATCCATGCAAGGAGGCTTTGGAAAGAGCCAATGGCGGATTCAGCGTTCAAGCCCCTGGAGCCCAAGGACAGTGTGGGTTGCAATGTTGTTTGTGGTGGTGGTTAATGTTTAATAGTCATTTGACCCACCAGGCCAGGTCTGAATTCCCACCAGACACATAGAGTCTTGATTCCCTACGGAGTAGCCAACTTGGAGTCAGGGGAACTCTGGGTTCGAATCCCAACTTTATGACTTGGGCATTTAGCTCCTGCGAGCCTCCATTTACTTCTCTGTGATCTCAAACTGCCATGAGGAGTTATAAGGGTTAATGGATAACATTCTTCACTATCCTTTCACATACTAGCGCTCCCTCAAGTTTCCTTCTCCTGCTCAAAGAGGTTTAAGACCCAGGTGACTCCTGAAACCGGACAGAAACTCCAAGACAAGAGGTGACATGAACAGCAAGGAGAGCCCGGGGCGGGGGGGCGGGCACCATACAAGGGGAGACAGGGATCCCCAGCCAGACTCACAGCTGAGCAGTGGCTCACAACTGGCCTTAGGCTACTGGAGGGCATGGATTATGTCCACCTGTGAACCTCTGTCCCTTTAAACAGCTGCCATTGCCAAGTAGAGGCGGATTCTGGGCAGCAGTGCTGGGTGTCCCCATCTGTCCCACTGTGCCAATTCTCATCTACCCTCCGAAGGGGAGGGGCATAGCTTCCCTACTACTTCCTTACGAAGTCCCCCGCTGTTTTGAATGAGAATGCCTCTTAGCTTAGCAAAAACAAGTCTGAACTTTTGTTCAAGTGAGCTCTTCTAGAAAACCAACAGACCAAAGAAAGGGAGCTTAGGAACCGATTAGTGCTGACTCCAGTTCCCATCGTCCAGTTCCCATCTTCCCCAGGCCAGGGATCATTGCTAGTCACTCAAACTTCTCTCTGCTTCTTTTCTCCGGTATCACTCTACAAGGCCTGAACTCCGCTAACAAGTCACACTGCCTGTTGGCGGTGGGTTCCTTAATTTCCTTCCTCGCCCAGTGGGTGATGGGAAGAAAGCAGGGTTTGGGGGACACCAGCCCTGAGTTCCACCACCAGCGCCCCGTGTGACCTTGAGCAAGCCGTGTCCCTCTCTCTGGGCCTCAGTTTCTCTATGGAAAAATGGGCCGAACACGGATATGGGTGGGTGAGAGGTGAGGACTTGGTGATGAAACCTGGAAGCCTTCGCACAGGGCCACGCGTGGAGGGGGCGCTCACAAAGTATCAGCCGTGTCCCAGCTTTGAGTTACGGCCTCCCCTTCCCATGTCCCTCCCCGTCCCACCTCTGGCTTCCCAGTCCTCTAAGAATTGAAAAGGTCGCTGCATCTGAGCAGCACCTGAATTCAGCCCCACAGTCCCGGACAGCAGGCAGGGCGGGGGGTAGGGGGAATGGGGGGGCGATGCCAGCGTTACAGGGTTGGCCCAACCACGAGCGGCCAGAGCTGCCCTCTGCTCTGCCGCCTCCCTCCCGTCCTCCTGCGACCTCTCGCCCGGGCTGCGGCCGAGGGGGACCCGGGCGCCCTTACCGGAGAAGATCCTTCCGTCCCGAGTGAGGATCGCGGCCCCCACGGGGAAGTGACTGTAGGGGCAGTAGGCGGACTTCTTGGCTTCCCGGCAGGAGAGCAGCAGCCGCTGGACGAGCTCGGGCTCCAGGGCGCCGGCGGGACGCTCGTGGGCCATGTCTCTCCCCCCGGGCGGAGGAGGCGCAGAAGTCCGCTCTCAACCCCGCGGGGCCAGCGAAACGTTAGCTCCTCCCCCGGGGCGTGTCTCTGTGGGGCGCTGGGCGGGGCCGGGGTCTCCAGCCACCGCCTCCTGCGCCCCCAGCGCCCCGCTCCGCAGGCTGGGATTGGAGGGTTCCGTGTGGGGCCCAGTGTGTAAGGATGCCACTGTGCCCACGTGTGCTCACCCTCTCCCCTGGGGACCACTCTCGCTGCCAACACACTGAGGGGCGAATGGTCAGGGCATGGATGCGCCTGTGTAAGGGGAGACTGCGGACACAGGCTCCTCGGGGAAGAGGCTGCTGGGCGGCGGGGCGGGGGGGGAGGGGTCAGTGTGAAGTCTGGGGAGTCCAAACTTCAAGGGTTGAAATGCACCTCAATGTGTTGACTGTCTCCTTCCCTGGGTGATGCGATGAGGCTGAAAGGGCAGAGCTGGGGCAGCCACTCTGGCTTCCTGAGGGAGGGAGTGTGAGACAAAGCAGTAAGACCAAGTTGCTTCTTTATTTTCACCCATTCTCCTCTGACTCTGGTCTTAACCCAGAATTTAAATGTATCTCAGCTGGAGGGAATCTCTGAGGTGGTCTACTCAGGTTTCCTCACTTTTTTGTTGGCAAAATAAACATTGGGTTGGTGGCCAAAGAAATGGGTTTGCATACTGGCAGCACCACTTTCCACATGTACAACCACTGGCCAGTTCTTTGACCTCTCTGAGCTAGTTTCCTCATCTCTACAGTGAGGATATTGACCATCTCTGTTCTAAGTCCTTATAGAAGAGCTTGAACTTTGGAGTTTAGTAGACCCTAGTTGGAATTCCAGTTCTTATTAGCCATGGGACCTTAGGAAATTAATAACCATCTGTCTCTGCAGCCTCAGGTTCCTCATCTGTAAAGTGGGTGCACTAACGGTATCTTGCAGAGTTGTCTTGAGGCTCGAATGAGATAATGTGTGTCCAGTGAGTATGGTTAGAGGCTCCTGTGGCATCACGACAAAGCACTCTTTGTGACTTCATGCAGATGAAGTTATTGTCATTAAGTGACTGGGCCAAGATCACATAAGAAAGGCAGAACACCAGATAGCAAGCCCAGAGGTGTCCAAACATCCGCAGACCCCCAACAAGTGGAAGTGAACCAGCAGTTTCTCCGAGGGCTTGGACGGAGGGTGGGGCAGGGGAAGGGGGGAAGGTGGAAGAGGGGGAGAAAATGAGGCAGCATGTCCATATCCTGCATGTGGACATCTCGGGGAAAACAGATGCAGCCCAGTATCTTTGTGTCCTTTAGCCTGGAGCTCTCCCACATGGAGGTATAGGCAAACACCTAGCTGGGCAAAGTCTGCCTCATTTTCCTCTCCCCTCCCCTGCCCTCCTCCCTTCAGATTCCTCCCACCCCCTTTCTACACATCCAGCCCTTAGAGAGGCAGCTGGTTCCTTCCTGCCTGCTGGTGCAATTTTCTTCTGGTTCTACACACTTGGCATTGAGAGCATTTTCTTGGATCTGAAGCAGGACTGGCAGAGATACCTGTCCTGCTTTTGAACTGCTGTAGTACCCGGCTACCTGATGACCCCTCTCCTAAGGTTCCAGGAAAGAAAACAAAGGATGTCTGGGGACCGAGTGCACCCACTCCACACGGAAATAATTGTAAAGCTTTTGGGAGCCAAGTATAATTGCAAAGGGAAGAGGGATATAGGCCCTGTTGTCCTATCAGGCCTGTCGGAGTGCTCTTTCTGTCCCCTGCCCTGTCTTGACTCACATCAGCCGAGGCCAGCCCTGCCAGGGACTGGGGCTGGGCTTCTTGGCTCCATAACATCAGGAAAACTTGGATGACCTCCAGGCAAATTATGGCATTGGCTTCTTCAAAGCTCTTTACCTGGGTCACAAGTGGGGACAGTGTCCCTTGCACACCCAGCTGAATGGGGCTTGGGGCCAGCAGTCATTCTAGATTTCCTGACAGAATGGGCTTGGAGTGGCCATCTGGAAGGGGAGAGTGGGCCTGAAAACATGTACAGAGCTAAGTTTTAGATTAATAATATTACCAACATTTTCTAAACATGCTTTAATCTCTGCTCTACATAAAATTAAGAAAAGTTAATTGCCCAGCTCAAAGAAGAGGAATATCTAAGAGAGGTGTTTTGAGTGGCGGTGGAGATTGTCAGGGCCCAAAGCCCTCCCACCCCACCCCCAGGCCTTTCCTCTGTGAAGGAGGACCACCCAGGATCCCAGAGTTAGAGCTCAGATAGCATTAAATGACTTCTTCATTCAAAGAACAGTTACTCATAATCACAGCTAACTCTTATTAAGCTCTTCCCATGTGCCAAGCCCTGGGCTAAACACATGATTGGAATTATTTCATGTTCTCCTCACCAAGAGGTAGATGCAGGCAAGTTTCCTGCCCATGTTTTACTGATGAAGATGAGTCAGGGACAGGAGGGGTTAGGTACGGAGGGTTACGTGATCAGGCTCAGCAAGAACCCCAGAGATGCTGAGACCAGAGAAACCAGAAATAAGGGGAACAAACCAGATGACCCCACCCTGGAGATGTCATCACCAGTCCTTACTCAAACCAAGATGTCACAAGAGTGTCAAGGCCACAAGGTCTTCATGTTGGCGATGGGGTCAGGACGCCTCTCACTCCTGAGAGCTTTTTCCATACCCTTGCTTCCTAAGATTCTAAGGCTCTACTCACTCTCCTTTGTCTGCAAAATTCATTCTTGAATGGTGAAACAAGAATCTCATTTTCTTGCTTCGTTTTGGTGCTGAAACCCAGGAACACTCCCACCAAAGGAGGAGAAAAGTGAACTCTTTTCTTTCCTGGGAGGTGTCTTTCCCTTGGATGACCTCTTCTTTTAATAAACAACAAAACCAGGCACCTGTCAGCCAGTTAAAAGCGAATAGTGTCGCCACTGGTCTCAAGTCTCAGGGGACAGGCTTCTGGACAAAGATTTGGTCAGTCCCCCTTCCATAAAAGAAGGGAATGTTGGCCTAACCCGACGCAGCTCTGCTTTCTGTTCACTGACTTTTTAAAAATGGCTTTCTCCCACCTCAGGGACTTTGCCCATAGTAAGGCCCTTCCGACCCTCGATGATCAGTACCCCCTTCTTCTTCTTCTTCTTCTTTAAAGATTTTATTTATTTATTTGACAGAGAGAGAGAGAGAGAGATCACAAGTAGGCAGAGAGGCAGGCGGGGGCTGGGGAGCAGGCTCCCCGCTGAGCAGAGAGCCTGATGCGGGGCTCAATCCCAGGACCCTGGGATCATGACCCAAGCTGAAGGCAGAGGCTTAATCCATTGAGCCACCCAGGTGCCTCAAGTACCCCCTTCTAATCAGGGATGCTCAGGTGCCTCAAGTACCCTCTTCTAATCAGGGATTCATTTCAGGATTTAAAATCACTTTCTATCCTCTGCAATTTCTTCTCCAAGCACCTGGGAATGTCATGGGTTCAGCTGCTCTGAAAGTGGTCCTCCCGCTGACTGTCATCTGGGGGAAGGGGGTTGCCTATGTAGATATAAGACTTTTTCATTTAAAAGTATCTTTCAGGGCGCCTGGGTGGCTCAGTGGGTTAAGCCTCTGCCTTCAGCTCAGGTTATGATCTCAGGGTCCTGGGATCAAGCCCCACATCGGGCTCCCTGCTCAGTGGGGAGCCTGCTTCCCTGCCCCCTCTCTCTGTCTGCCTCTCTGCCTACTTGTGATCTCTCTCTGTCAAATAAATAAATAAATAAAATTCTTAAAAAAGAAAAGTATCTTTCATGAGAACTTAGCTTAGGAGGAATCACCTTTCCCTCATTTTTTTGCTGCCTGGTAAGACAAAGGTTTTTCTGTTAGGTACAATTTAAGTGTAATCACAGAAATTAAAACCCAAATTATCAGCAAGCAGGATTAGAGCTATCTTCTTATGTGGCAACTTTCCTGGGCCTTTACTCTCCATGGAATCCTTTGGGCATTAAGGAGGGAATTTTAAACCCCCAGCCAACTCCTTGATTAGTTGCATTAGTGGCTGGGGCTTTAAGGGGTCATACGGTTGAGACTTTCTTGCGCCAACACAAGAATATGGAATAACAATGATGCTAAATGTCAGGGCCCGCCCCCCCCCATCAGGCCATACTTGCAAATGGGACATCAGGTATATGGATGGAAAAAGTGCCCAAGGAGTAAGCCAAAAAAACATAATTGAATTTGGCTTATAATTAGCCTGATTGACCAGGCACCACGGGGCTAGGGTGGCAAGTGAATTTATATGACCAAACAATGAGAGTTCAATTGAGAGAGTTCCTAAGAATGAGGCCCTTGAAAAGGATTTCCCCTACTCTGTCCAAAGTTCAGCCAGGGGGCACACATAAGGATTGGCAATCTGGCATTTTGCACCTGGCGTTTGGTCTCCATGGGTCACCCCGGGGTCTCTGAGACACATAAAAGGATGGAGATGGCCCTGAGAGGTCACACCCCAGAGCAGGTAAGGATGGCTACTCCTGCCGGCCTGGTCCTTCCTCACCCCAAGATGTTAGGTCGTCCTCTCACATTGGGTAGGCACACTAAGGGATGCCTTGGCTTATGAGAGAGAGAGGACAGACACCTTTGTAGTCACCTCTCTGTAACAGGTACTAGGAAACTGACTCCCACCGGGATCGTGAGATGGGAAGCACCCCATCCTCCACGGGAACTCCTTTGGAATACATCCTGAAAAACGGGAGAAGTTTGGAGCACCTGGGTGGCTCAGTCAGTTGGGTGTCTGCCTTCGGCTTGGGTCGTGGTCCCAGGGTCCTGGTATCGGGCCCCACATAGGGCTCCCTGCTCATTGGGGGGCCTGTTTCTCCCTCTTCCACTCCCCCTGCTTCTGTTCCCTCTCTTGCTGTGTCTCTCTGTGTCAAATAAATAAAATCTTGAAAACAAAAACGGGGAGAAGTATGATCCACAGATGTCTAAAAGGAAATGTATAAACTTTTTCTGTTCTTAGGCCTTGCCTCAATGTCACCTGGAGGATGGTGAAATTTGGCCCCCAGAGGGCGAGTATTA